TCTTTAAAAAAAAAAAAAAAAAAAAGTAACTACGAATTTGTAGACAGAACAACATGAAAGCTTAATCAGTAACAAAACTATGAACCACTCTATTTTCTGGACCTAAGGGAGATGTTTAAAATTGTAGATGTTCCATGATTCCAACTATGTCATATAAAAGCCATATTCTATCATAACCTTAACATTTCATCCAGGATTATGATGTTTGTCATGTTTTAAGGGACTGAACTCAAGGTTGTACCAAAATCTTTAAAATCTAAGCCAATTTTTAAAGTGTTTTTTCAATCACTAACTTATTTCCACAATAATCTTATTTTGGCCTTTATAAATTCAGAAAATGGAATATATTTGCAGAAATGTATTGGATAGACTTTTGTATATACATATGATCTTGAAAGCTATTTCTGAAAATTTGTCATTATATGTTATCATTTAACCCAATTTTTAAATCGTTTTCTTCCATATAGAGCAGATGGAGGAGTCAGTAACAATAGTTTTATAATGCAAATGACTTCTGACTTAATTAATAAGAAAATAGACAAGCCAGTAAACACAGATGCGTCTTGTCTTGGAGCAGCATTTTTAGCAGGTCTTGCTTTGGGTAAGTATGCTTGCTCCTTTCTGTCAAAATACCTGTTTAGTAGGGTTTTTTTCCTTCCTAATACATACATTGGTAAATGAAAAAAGTCAGTGGAACTTGTACATGGCTTTTCCATTTTTGATTTTTCCAGTCATAAATTCTCCTCAAAGAGTCAGGTGTCCCCCTTCACATTTTCTGTGTCACCTGGAAATCTAAAATCAGTAATACTTAACTCAGTGGTTCCTAACCTTTCTCCCCAGCCACCCCATTTCTAGTCTAACCCCAACATCTATAATTGAATTTCTGTGGGGCTCCACCCTGCTCGGGAACTGATGACTTGATTCTTATGTAGTACTCTTCATCCACATAGTATTTAATGAAAACACAAGTTTGGGGTACAAATACAAAAACCAAATTAATGGGCCACTGCATTTTTAATGCTTCAGCTTTGCAAACGCTTATTTGCTTAACTGTGTATAAGTAGGCTCCCTGAAGTCCGTCACAATGTTAGGCCATATGTCCACATAGGATTATGGTCTAAATTTGTAATCTGAGTAATTTAAGAAAATAATTTATTAAAATGTGACAGCTAGAAGGAAAATAAATGGAATCCAATTAATTGAATATTAGCAGAAAAAGATTCAACTTCAGTAAGACAGTCTCTATCTACATTATTCACCAGGCTCCAGTGAAAACCAAGAATTGTCAATTATGCAATGATCTTTATTAACGGACATTTGTAGTAATATATTTTGTTTGTGGATCTTTACTTCACTTAATTTGTTTAGAAATGTGAGTAATAAAAAGCTAAAATATTTAAAAAGCATAAATTAATATAAGAATTATTCAGTCACTAAAATAGTGTAAGGAAACCATGTGAAAGCACAGAAAGAATCCTTTACTACATTATTTTTAGATAAAATATATTTGATAGAATCCATAGATTTAGCATAGGCTTTTTAGGTAGTACTGAGTATGATTTGCCATTTATCCATTCTTTCAAGTAAGACAGTAGGAAAATGACCAGTGTTTATCTTGGTTCCCCTGGGTATCCCTTGAGAGGCACTGGAGTCTGCTGTTCCTATGGCTCACCTTCCTAGTATTGACAGAACCTACATGAACTTTACTGTACTAAAGCTGTTTCTTGAAAACCAGCTTAGTGAAACAGATGTACTGTTTTGTCAGGGTTCCCAGTTAAGTGGATTTGGTTGGAACGGATTCAGACTGTAAAAATGTGCATCCACTTCATTAAAAAAAAAAGTTTTTTTAATTAATTAGGAAATCATAATTCTTTATTATGCTTCTAAATTGGGTCTATTGGGAATAAATCTGTGCAATTCAACAACACAGTATTTGCAGCTGGGCTTGAGAATGAGCTTTGTGTTTGTAGGGGTTTGGACTGACAAAGAACAACTAAAGAAACTGAGGCGAACTGAAGTAGTTTTTGAGCCACAAAAGGACTCGAGAGAATACAGACTTGCTATGGATAGCTGGATACAAGCAGTACAACGTTCCCTGCATTGATACAGATGAACATTGTAATAATGGCTTTTTTTTAATGGACTACTTCTGCTAAACCTTGGAATTTAGAGGACATAACCAACATTTCCTGTGGCATATACACTAGGTCCTGCCATATGTCAAGAGCCTTCCCGCTGCTATAAAATTATTTACTACTACATATTGAACCATCCTACCCTTCTTATTACACCTCTTTATGATCTGCAGCAGCTCTGCTCCTTCAGTGAACTCCATAGAGGTAGCTCACATGATTGAATATTACTGCCATGTATCAGTGAGGGAGTGGTTACTGGGTCAGGGGATTCTCACTCTAATCATTGGGCAAGGAAGAAGCTATGGGAGTGGTGACAAAGGATGCTTCTTGTTTGCCTTTGTCAGACTGAAATTTGATAAATATGTTCTGTAGTGGGCTTCACTTTAAGATCACTTTCAAACTGAAGCCGGTGCAGAATATCACTGTCTAACTATTACAAGGGCATTTATTTTCTATGAAGGGCTCTCTAAATTGGAATTTACTTCCCTTGATCTGAAAAAGCCTGGATTTGATATCCTTTAGGGTATGCAGTAAGTAATCTATTTTTCTGGGCATTTCTGGGAGGAGCAGTTTTCTTTCCTTATGGTAGATGTTACTCTGTGAATTTACCCCTCTTGACTGTGGTGTATTAGATCATATTTTGACAGTCTGTTTGCATAAGGAGGCTTTTGTTCATGGTGCATGTTATGGCATTATGATTCCTAGGCCTTAGATGAGCAATATAGTAAGTCAAAATATAAAAGTGAACACTGATCAATACTAAATACTAATACTTTGTCCCCAAATTTTTGTAGCTAATGGTTTCCATCTGATACATTAATTTCTTTAATTTTGTAATAAAACGCATCATTTTGCACTTTGTGAGTTAATACAAATATTGTTAAAAGTCATTACAAGTACTGTGTCATTTAAAAAATGTCTGTAGCAATATTAATATTTTCAAAGCCATTATTATTGTGCTAAAGCTGAAACAAATGTGTCTATTTTTTTTAATAATTACTTTATTGATACTGTTTTTAAAACTGGAATAAAAGAACTAATGAATAAATTATATAGGAAGCTGTTATTCAAACCAGCATCTAATGATAATTTAGAGTCTTTATGTTTTGTTATAATTCCCTTTTTCCAAGAATGTGTGTGCATGATGTATTTATATTGTTTTACCTAATCTGGACTGAATCAAACTAGCTATATTTGTGGAAATGGTGTTCTTTGGTTCTGTTTCACATTAGGAATCTAGTGTTCAAAGACAGAACCTCTCTCTCCTAGAAGATCTGTATCCTGGTGTGAGGGGGAGATGGGTAGACATGAAGCTAGCTAACACAGACAGAGACTGAATTTGAGTAACTCGCAACTAGTCAAAAATCCAGTACAGTTTGTTTCCACCTTGTGCTTCAGAATGAAAGCTTCTGTTTAAGAAAGAACCAGACTCTTCAGCTTAACAAGATTGCTTTGTATCATGTCCTGAAACTGAAGAGGAGACCACTGGAAAACTTTCTTCTATGCGGGATCCTTTTAGGTCTAAAGGTGAGAGAGGCTATTTTATTGCCATCTAAAACAGCTGCTGCTTCTTCCATCCATCAGCATAATGGAATGAGAAGGCCTGCTGGAAAGTAAACAGGGAGCAACTGAGTGCCATTAACTTGCATCCCTGATTTGAGCTAGGTCCCTAACCCTGAAAGGAAAAGCCAAAGTTGGTCCCTACATCTTTCCTTCTTCCACTCTGTTAAATGTCAATATTGTTAATCTTCCAGTACTGTTCAAAACGCACAGCAAAAAGGGATAAGATCTATTCCTGGGTTAGGCTCAGAAAGGATAGCAACAAAGGTGATGTTGTGGTGGGTGTCTGCCATGGACCACCAGACCAGGAGGATGTGGTAGATGCGGCTTTCTTCAAACAGCTAGCAGAAGTTTCCTGATCACAAGTCCTCGTTCTTATGAGAGACTTCAGTCACCCTCCCAGTCACCTCCTGGGAGTGCAATACAGATGTGCGCAAGCAATCTAGGAAGATTTTGGAGACTGCTGGGGACAACTTCGTGGTGCAGCTGTTGGAGAGACCAACTAGGGGCTGTGCTCTTCTTGACCTGCTGCTCACAAACAGGGAAGAATTGGTGGGGAATGCAGAAGTGGGTGGCAACTTGAGCAGAAATGAGCACGAGATGATTCAGTTCAGGATCCTGAGGAAAGGAAGGATGGAGAACAGCAGAGTAAGGACCCTGGTCTTCAGAAAAGCAGACTCGGACTCACAAAACTGATGGGCAGGATCCCCCTGGAGGCCAGTCTGAGGGGAAGTGCATCCAGGACAGCTGGCTGCACTTTAAAGAAATCTTACTGAGGAACAAACCATCCCGATAAACAGGAAGACTAGCAAGTATGGCAGAAGACCAGCTTAACTTAAGAAGGGAACTTTTCAGTGAGCTAAAACACAAAAAGGAATCTTACAATAAGTAGAAACTTGGACAAACAACTAGGGAGGAATATGAGAGTATTACTTGGGCATGCAGGGGTGAGATCAGAAAGTCCAAAGCGCAACTGGAGTTGCTGCTAGCAAAGGACATATAGGGTAACGAAGGTTTTCTGCAAGTATGTCAGTAACAAGGAGGATCATGGAAAGCGTGGGTCCCTTACTGAAAGGGGGAGGCAACCTTTTGACAGGATGTGGAAAAGTCTGAAGTACTCGATGCATTTTTTACCTTAGTCTTCATAACCAAGGTCAGCTCCCAGACTACTGAACCTGGTAGCAGTTTGGGGAGGAGGTGAGCAGCCAACAGTGGCAAAACAACAGATTAGGGACTATTTAAAAAAGTTGGACATGTAAGTCTGTGGGGCCAGATGCAATGCACCCAAGTGTGCTGACAGAGTTGGACAAAGTGATTGTAAAGTCACTGGCCTTCTTCTTTGAAAACTCATGACAACTGGAAAAAGGCAAATAATAATGCTTATCTTTAAGAAAGGGAAGAAGCAGGATCCAAGCAACTATAGACAGGTCAGTCTCACCTCAGTCCCTGGAAAAAACATAGAGCAGGTCCTCAAGAAATTCATTTCTAAGCACTTGGAAAAGGTAATTGGGACCAGTCAGCATGGATTCACTGAGGACGAGTCATGCCTGACCAAACTGATTACCTGTTCTGATGAGATGACTGGCTCTGTGGATGCAGGGAAAGCAGTAGATGTGGTATACCTTAACTTTGGCAAGGTTTCTTGCAAGCAAACTAAGGAAGTATGGGTCCGATGAATGAACATCAAGGTGGACAGAAAACTGGCTAGATCATCAGGCTGGAGCAGTGGCTCCATGTTTAGGTGGCAGCCAGTATGAAGTGGAGTCTCCCAGGGGTTGGTCTTGGGGCTGTTTTCTTTCACTATCTTCATCAGCGACCTGGAAGGTGGGAGGGAGTATACCTTCAACAAGTCTGCAGATGACACCAAGTTGTGGGGAGTAGTAGATATGTTGGAAGGTAGGGCTGGGATTCAGATAGACCTAGACAAATTGGAGGATTGGACCAAAAGAAATCTTATGAGGTTCAATAAGAACAAGTGTAAAGTCCTGCAACTAGGACAGAAGAATCCTAAGCACCAATACAGGCTGAGAACTGACTTGACTGAGCAACAGCACTGCAGAAAAGGATGTGGCGGTTACAGTGGACAATAAGCAGAATATGAGCCAACGGTGCTGTTGTTGCAAAGAAGGCTAACAGCATACTGGGCTGCATTAGTAGGAGCGTTGCCAGCAGAGTGAGAGGAGTAGTCCTTCCCTTCTATTCTGTTTCCCCCCTTTATTCCTCCTCCCTTCCCTGCTTTACCTTTTGTCTAATTTCTACTTATTTACATTCTCACTGACACCCTCCCTCTTTTAGCATCTCATTCCTTGGAGTCTCAGAAGAGCAGAGACTCCCTATGCCTGAAGAAGGGTGATTGCCCCCAAAAGCTTGCTAAGAACTTTTTTCCAACCATTCAGTTGGTCTAATAAAAGTTCTCCAGCATCCCAGGATGCGCTGCTCTCTGCCCCTCCCCCCCATAGCGCCCTGGGGTCCTGGCCCCCAACCAGAGCTACTCGCAGCACCCCCCCGGGGCAAGGTCTAGCCCTGCGGGCAAGGGACAGTGTTAACCCTTAAGGTGCCACTGTTCTCAGCACCTCCCTACCCCATGCATGCAGGAACCGGCACCTGCGGCACGTGGCGACAGGCCCCGCTCCTGAGGCCGCCCCCAGGGCCGGGCTCGGCCAGGGCGCTGCCTGTCTTGGAGCAGTGCCCTTCACTATGCAAATCAGCGGGGGGTGGGGCGATCAAGGCCGTGCTCATCTCCCGCCACTGCGAGACCCGAGGTCAAAGGCAACCGGACACTCCTAGGGCGCATGCGCCGCCCCGACCCCCGGTTCGGTCCACGCCTCGGCCCCGCCCCGCCCCCGCCGGAGCAGCGACTGGGATTGGCGGGCGGATTGTGTACACACATGAGGCAGCGCCAATGGGCGGCTGCCGGCGCCTGACGTCAGGCGGAGGGCCGGCCAATGAGAGCGGGCGGTTGTCAGACGCCGCCAAGCTTGTGCGGGGGAGCTGCGCTGGGCTCAGGCGCCGGGTCCGGGTCAGGGTCCGTACCGCCGCCGCGGGGCCGCTTTCCTCGCCGGGCCCGCCGGCACCTGGTAAGGACGCGCCGAGCGCCGCGACCCCTGCCTGCTCCCGGCGCGGCGCCCCCGGGGCTGC